AAATCGAGAAGAATCACACATGTTAACATCGAAGTAAGCAAAGCAGAAAAGAGAGAGAGGCAGAGACAGATAGGGACAGAGAGAGAGAGAGAGAGAGAGAGAGAGAGAGAGAGATAGCGAGAGAGAGAGAGAGAGAGAGATTTTGGCAGGGTACTTCAGTAAATATCAAAATAAAGCCCTGGAGCAAAGAGGATACCACTGCCACCATCATCAGAAGATCTAGAAGAAAATTAAGTATAGGGAAGAATGATGGAGAAAATAATTGAAGCAAGAGGAAACCATCTGTACCAAAACCATGATAATAATTATCATTAGAGTAAGTTATCCTAAATGTGTTTAGTCCTTTACTAAAATAATGATTACTCGTGTCTGATGTCAATGAAACGATGGATTTGTGAGCTGAAAAATAAAGCCAAACAGAAAAAACGAACATTATCATCAGCAATAAAACACGACGATGATGAGAACCAGAACGGGGAGGGGGTGGCGATAATGACGATGATGAGAACCAGAACGGGGAGGGGGTGACGATAATGACGATGATAATCATAATAACAATGATGATTTCAATTATTTCAATGACGATGCTCATAGTGATGATGATGACGATGATGGTGATTGTCCTCCTCCTCCTCATCATCATCATCACCATCATCACCATCATCATCACCATCACCATTACCACCACCACCACCACCACCATCATCATCATCATCATCATCACCATCATCATCATCATTATCATCATCATCACCACACCATAACCATCATCACTATCATCATGATCATGTTTATCACTATCATCAATCATCATCATCACCATCATCATTATCATTACCATCATCAATATCACCATCACCATCCCATCACCACCACCATCATCATCATCATCATCGTATCATTATCATAATCATCGTATCATTATCATAATCATCACGACAAATGCGACAATTATGTGAACTATGAGCAATAAAGAGAAAAAAATAACCACAAAAGGAAAGAAAATATGGAGAAGAAGAAAAAAAATCACCCGTTTCCACGTGTTTGTTGGGTGCAGGTTTTTTATTTACCGAATGATCTTTTTGGTGTAGATTTTACGTGATCATCTCGTAAGTAAATGAGTGTTGTCGAGTGTATGGTCGTGATGGACTGGTGAGCCATGTAGTTTAAACTGTTCAAAAGGGGATACCCATTTCCTCCATTCCTCTCTAAATTTGCACCAAGTGTAAAGTACACCAGTCACTGGGGAGGTTTTGATCAAATATTTGAGAGAAGAAAGAGTTAGAGAGAGAGAGAAAAAAGGAAAGAGGGAGAAGGACATTTGGGTTTCTTTTAATAGAAATACTGCTTGTGACCGATTGAATATGTATCGTTCATTGATACCCGATGGTATAATGATTATGTACATATATCAAATTACACATTTGAAAGTATTATTGTTTTAAATGTACGCCGATTTGTTAAAGCTGAGCTGAAATATCTGTTTTTCTGATCATTCATTAATTTATTTTCGATCACAGAGTATAACTCAATCTTTGATAAACAGAAATTGCAGTTGAATTGATAATGCCATTTTGAACTTACAATAATTAAAATAACGAAGAAAAGATTGCTATAAAAACAACATTGACGATGCTAATGATGATGAATATATAAAATTTGTTCCACAATTAAACAAATTAAAGATATTTAACACAGATTATAATGATTAGTTCAGTGACTGCGGTTGGAATGCTGTTAGAATACCGCTCTAATCACTTTGCTCTTAACTATCAATTCTGAAATAGCAATTTAAAACAAAAAATCTTTACGCAGATTTCAAGGATGAACTTTGGACTTTGAATGTTTTTTTTAAAGCTTTAGTAAAAGGAAACAGAAAATTAAATATAATAATAATAATAATAGCCTAATAGTCCACTCATAATTTTATTAAACCGAAACGGAAATTCTTTTTGCCCAATTGATCGTGAGCCCGGCAGCCACTGAGCAGCGCCAGATCGACGTTGCTCTAACCCTTGTTGTTGAACGCCAAACAAGGTAGCAACAACTCCCATCTTTTAACGTCTTTTGGTAAAACTAGCTTTAAAAAAAAGAAGACAAATTAGGGACTAATTTTTAGGAAATAGTCTCTGTTTTCTCATGACTAGTCCTCTACAATATATTTTTAATGATACATTATCATACACACTCGTGTATATTGAGTGATTTACTAAATCGCGAGTGGAGATCGAAATTATTTAATATTACCCCTTTCAGTTATTTTGGCAAACAAGTCTTGAATTTTAATTGTTCATTGCAAATCACATTGTTTGATGTTTTGGTTTGTATGTTGTCCTTTTTGTTAAAGTGAAAGTAAAATATCTATTATGTCATCATTCTTCCCTTATATCTGTTTTTCATCACAATGATTTGCATAAATCATGTTTTGTTCATTTTCTGTGGAAGAAGGCTGGTGTCAACCTTCTACGTACGTCATCCATAAACCTTTGAACCTCGCGCTCTTATTAACATTCTCATAAAATTGTTACTAAATATTCACTCTTCTACGAAAACATTTCTTTGAGTATATTCAAGTACTGAGGATAATTTTTCTCTGTTTCTTGGAATATTATACTTATGTGTTCGTGATTATTTCTACGACTTGTCTCTTGCAAGTCTGCTCTCTATACTGGAATATTGCCCTCAACGACATAACATGAACAGTACGAAGGTGACACGATCCTTGCTCCACTTACTCAACGAAACACACCGAGCCGCGGATCATTTTTGAAAGCGTGATATATTCGATTTGAACCACACTAATATATAATTTTGGATATTGTTTTTGTAGATATTAATAGATTGCTCAATCTTTACATACAACACAAACGTTGCGTACATGCCCTAAGGTACATGCATGTATAGCTTGGTGTAATGTCTTGACTTCAATCAAACCTCAACAAATAAAAATAACCTGGATAAACCATCATTTTATGTTGTTAATTGAATGGTAGTTTGCAATATATCCTACATTCGTAAGAAAGAAATGAGATTTTCGGGGGTTATTCGTAACATCTAGACCTGGATGTAGTTATAAACCACCTGCAAAATGTTTACTCTTTGTATGTTTCGTTGAACCTTGTATTCAAGCCAATATTCGTTTGTAAATGTATTATTTCTGTTTTTGAAGGTCAATACAGGGGCCATTGCATTTCAGACTAATAATATCTTAAATACCAAAGTCAGACAATAGATGATAAAAGAGGAAAAATTATGAAAATGTTGAGAAAAAAAAAATCCAGGAATGAATTAACGAGATGAAAATGCTTCATCCATCGGTTAATAAGAACGACTAGTTAATAGCAATTACTGCAGTGGAATATTGCATTGTGCGTCTTACATGTCTAGTTTTATTTAAACAACACACTTTTGTATTCATCATCATCATCATCATCATCATCATCATCATCAATATCATCATCATCATCATCATCAATATCATCATCATCATCATCATCAATATCATCATCATCATCATCATCATCATCAATATCATCATCATCATCATCAATATCATCAATATCATCATCATCATCAATATCATCATCATCATCATCATCATCAATAACATCATCATCATCATCATCATCATCATCATCATCAATATCATCATCATCATCATCATCATTAATAACATCATCATCATCATCAATATCATCATCATCATCATCAATATCATCATCATCATCATCATCAATATCATCATCATCATCAATATCATCATCATCATCATCATCAATATCATCATCATCATCATCAATATCATCATCATCATCAATATCATCATCATCATCATCAATATCATCATCATCATCAATATCATCATCATCATCATCATCATCAATCATCATCATCATCATCATCATCATCATCATCACCAATATCATCATCATCATCATCATCATCATCATCATCATCAATATCATCATCATCATCATCATCAATATCATCATCATCATCATCAATATCATCATCATCATCATCATCAATATAATCATCATCATCATCACCATCAATATAATCATCATCATCATCATCATCATCATCGTCGTCGTCGTCGTCTTCATCTTTATCATCATCATTTTCCTTATTATCATCAATAACAATAACTCAGTCAGACGATGAGTACGTGCTTACCATTGATGGGTAATCAAAACATTTCCTTTTTAAAATAATTTCCCCGTAATACTACAAAGCTTTTATCAACAGGTGCTTTTTATCTTTCTCTCCTTTCTCTTCTTCTGCATCATGTCCTTCTTCTTGTTCTCTTTCTCCTTCTTGTTCTTCTTGTTATTATTCTTCTTGTTATTCGTGTTCTCCGTGTTCGTGTTCGTCGTCTTTTTCTTCTTCTTCTTCTTCTTCCTTTCTTATTCCTTTCTTCTTGTTAGGACATGACTGTGGTTCACCCAATATTCTTTTTAGATTTGTATTATTAATTCACACATGCGCCTTTAATCTTTTCTGCATTAATGCTACCATGTCCTTACGACAGTGGATCAGTTTTGTTATTTCAACTCAGTTTCTACTCGGCAAGCTTCAGACATTTTCCGTGAGAAAACGTGATAAACGATTTTGGAAGATTTTGGAAGATTTTTCTGGAAAAAATGTTGGATTGATGAATTATGATCATATAGTGATATGACAAGAAAGAAGAAAAAGAAACAAATAATCATTATTATTGCTTCCTATAACTTAGCTCCCTGATTAGGGGAAGGACGAGGAAAAAACGGGTACAAAAGAAAAATAAGCAAGAAAACCAGCTGATCAATAACCACGCCCTGTGATTGTGACGTTGCACCCATACTTGAGCGTACAGCCAATGGCGCCGTGAAGATTGTACGAAGCCACACCCCTTCTGCGTTGCGCACACGGTTAAATCCGCGGAATGCATGCACGTCGCATGCAGGCGAGCAAATGCGTGCTGTGTGTGCGCTCGCTAACATATGCAGGTTATGATGCAAAAAACGGCATTAGAAAGCAGCAAGGGGAGGTTTAAGTATACATGCGACCCTGGTTGTTTTGCAATTCAGATCAGGGCGAGGGAGTAAGATGGAGACCGTCATATCGACTCCCTATTCACTCAGTTTATCCCAAGCCGATATCACCCCGTCATCGAACAGCTTGATTCTCAGTTCAGCTACCGACCACATACATCACAACATCACAAGTCTCTCTGACAACAGTATGCAGTCGGGACAGGTCAACGTCATGTATCAGAAATTGGGCAACGAGTTCCTACAGCAACAAGGCGGCAACGGGTTACCGCTCGCCCACCACGGGGCGCAGTGGGTGACGGGATTGAGCGCTCCGCCGCATGCCGACCCGACCAGCCACTGGGCAGGAGTTCCAGCTCATCTTCTTGGCCATGGTCAAGATATCAAACCGAACTTAGGACAAACTCGAGATGAAATAAATGAGTTACATCGATCCGGTCATTCACATGTGCAGTCAGCGGCGACATGGAACACGGGAAATGCTCATATGGCTATGCCGATGTCGATGACGATGCCGATGACGACTTCGAGCGGTGGTGGTCCGTTAGGCCACACGCCGACCAGCGCTCACCCCATGTACACATACGGTGCAATGAACGGTATGATGAGTTGTGCACAACAGTTTGGACAAAATGGACCTATGCGGGGTGTTCTGGGACCAGGTGGTGGTCAGTTACCTAGTCATAATGGTTCCGAAACGGTGATCGAAGACGATGCACCGTCATCGGATGATCTCGAGCAGTTTGCAAAGACATTCAAACAACGTCGCATTAAGCTCGGCTACACACAAGCCGATGTTGGACTCGCCTTGGGCACTTTGTACGGTAATGTTTTTAGCCAAACGACAATCTGTCGATTCGAAGCCCTACAGCTCAGCTTCAAAAACATGTGTAAACTGAAGCCGCTGCTAGCAAAGTGGTTAGAAGAAGCCGATTCAACCTCCGGCTCGCCGACAAGCCTCGATAAGATCGCCGCTCAGGGTCGAAAGAGAAAGAAGCGTACGAGTATTGAAGTCACAATCAAAGGAGCTCTCGAAAACGCATTTCTAAAACAGCCAAAGCCATCGGCTCAAGAAATCTCAGCTCTCGCTGATGGACTGCAACTCGAGAAAGAGGTGGTCAGAGTTTGGTTTTGCAATCGACGACAGAAAGAGAAAAGGATGACACCGCCGCTGAACGGCATCGGACCTGGAGGTATGCAAAGCGCTGATTCACCGCCACCCGGTCAAGCAGCAACGGGAGAACACGTCCTCCCGCACTCGACGGCCTCAGGACTGCATCACCATCACCATCATCATCATCCTGTGATTACGAGTTTGTCATCACACGCGCATCACATCGGTCCCGGGTCGTCACCCATCCACGGCCCTCCCGCCTCCGTTTCTCCACCAGCCGTCCACTCTCCCATCAGCTCAGCTCTGACACCACACAGCCAACACCAAGCCCAGTCCGTACAGTGACCGTTGGTCTATGCTATCCACCACCATCCCGCCGACGAAGCCGTGATTGATGAGCGAGCAAGTGAGCTGAGCGAGCGAAAGACTCGGTGGACGGCACCGCTGATGAGCCGGTATCTCCCACCTGTTAATGCTCTATCCGCGCTCCTGATCAACGCGGCATCTAAGCACCGTCATCCTACCGAACATTCACGAGCATCGCCTATAAGGTGAGGACTGCTAACTATTTTCATTTAAAGCATTCCATTTTATTTCTATGTAAATAGTAAAAACTCCAATTACAAGACACTTACGCACGATTGGAATGATGTCCTGTTGCTGAAAATATGGAAGATGTTGTTGAAAAAAAAATGTTCGAACGCTTTGAACTCAGGAATACACCTTCGAGATTAAAAAATAGACACTGAGAAACTTGATGATTTTGTTTTCAAATGTTTTCCGTTTCATGTCATACCCTCAAACGTGGTTTCTGGGAATCGTCAAAGTTATTACATGAATGTGTGCTCATTTTTCATGAACATGTGCAAAGCTGAAACACAATTTAAATGTAGAAAGGAAATTGTACAATTATTTATTACTTTGCAACTCATTCTTCATGCTTTTGTTCTATCTCATGGAGAGAGAAAACCTGCAATATCTCACCAGATCACTTCATAAATGATCGGAAAGATCTATTGTTTTGTACTTTTTCGATTATGAATAATTTCAATTTGTAATCATAGAACAATATAAAATTAAATCCACACCAATTTAACTTGCCACTTAAGTATGCAAATTGCAAGACTTTCGTGGAGGAGCGTAGCCGGTGTGGTCGCAAAATAGGATGAATATGTCCCACACAACCCGCTATGCTTTCTTGCCTTTTTACACTCTCTTTTCAACCAATATGTGCTCTCAGATTAAATCGCAAAAAGCACTGATTCCTTTTCATACACCGAGTAAGCTCAAAATCTGGCGAACTCTTACAAAAAAAAAATCAGGATTTCTTGTTTGACAGGCAGCTATAATGTGTGTGAGGTGTATTGTGAGTTGTATTCAAATGGCGACAAAAAGCAAATGTGCTCGACGTTGCATCTTTTGTTAGGGGACTAACTGTTTGACTAACACACACGATCACCTCCAAAAGTGGTAGAAATGTGGGGGAAAAATAAAGAGGGGAGAGAGCAAGCAGGGAGAGAAAAAAGGCCGGGGTGAAACACAAAAGGCAAGCGTGCAGTAAGCACAGACGTGTGCAACCAAAAACAATTAGCACTCTCTGAGCTATTGTGAGGGTAAAGCAGTCAAAATGTTGGTCATGATATTTCACCCCGTACGTTGAAGCAGATGGAACTATTTTGCATTGAATGTTGCATTTCACTCAGCTGTAGAAAGTATGGCTTTATGGCGTGAGAGAGAACAGTGGTGACTTTTTAATACTGAAGGAAATTATGAACTAAAACGCTCTGTATGTGCGTTTAGCCTAAATTGGATAACGAGAGTGTTGTCAATCTTTTTTCCACGTATTGTACAGTTATGTATTATAGTCCACTTCATTTTATTTATATGCTGTGGAAATTTTTCTATATTCCCTCCAAAAAAATGGACAAAAACAGGGTACCAAAATTTGAGATGGATTTCTTTTTCGCTGTAAATGTGTATAGTGTGCTCGCAGTGAAGGAGCTGGGGGAGGTATCAGTGCAAAGTCGGTCACAGATACAAGAAAAGGCCGAGGATGTTTTATTTTCTAACTTATCAGTATTACAGTAATATATTCATTGTTTTATTGTTGAATTATTTATTGTTTCTAAAGTTGTTTTGACTGAAGACGATTAGTCATGTTTTTACAGTCCTCGCACAATGAGACTAATTTAATAATCCAAATGTTTGTCTTCATCATAGGATGATGAAATGTCTTTTAATTCCATTCTTAAATTCAGCATAAAATGTATTCACGTATTTCAATTCCAAAAGCTAATCTGAAAACTAATATCAGATTATATTGCATAATGGTTGTGCTTTCCCCTTTTACAGCTAATTTTAGACTATTTATAGCTAAATCTATAAAATCATAAGGATGTCTAGGTTTTAACATTTACGTTCCGATGTACCTAGTGTTGCAATATACATCAAAAATGTTTTGATAACAATGCTGGCATCTTTTGAAATTACACTCTGTTTATTGACCGATTTTTGTTCCTCCAAATGAAAACAGTTTATACCAATACTTTATCTCTTTATTTTGCTTAATTAGGGAATTATAGAAGTTAATCTTGGAAAGAAATTGGATAAAATAAAGACAGAAGAGATTTTCTTTTCATCAGTCGATATTATATCACGCATTTTAGCTCAAAAGCAGGCCTTGAAATGTCCATGTATTGTATAATGTTTATACTTTTCCTTTTTATACTTGCTTATTATTGAAAGAGATTTTTATGTAGAGGACGAAATGCAATCATACACTACGTTTTATGTTCTTTTGTTACCATGTTATTAATATAAACAAAGAAACGGTTATTTCTATTATGATTATATACCATTTCGATGTCTGATTCAATTTTAGTCGTTCATTTTCTTTGATGATATTATGTATTTAAAACAGAGGCTTTGAACTGACATAATAAAAGGCTATGTCACCCTTGAAATAATTCTAGACTGTTGTGTTTACTTTTATTATTCATTATACGTTCAAATATCTACGCAGGTGCATCTAGATAGGCACTACTCTGAAAGAATATAAAGTCTACGCATACCAATCACCTATTGCATAATATCTATTGTCAGAGTCTCCTGGTATAGCAACACTGCCTGCCTTAAAGCACGTCACATTGCGAATGCAAGAGGAGAAGTGATTGGGAAAGCAGAAAAAGAGGTGAATTGAAACGGCATGATTCGGGAAAAAAACCCAATCAAGAACTTTGATTGGATGAGGAAGATTGATGTATAAAGAAATAGAACAATATTTTGTTGTAATGCATTTGAATGCATTTTAAAAGCTTATTGCTAAAAGCTCTCTCTGACAACTAAATCATAACATCGTAAATTTCGGGATAATTTTCAAAACGACATCATCAAATTGTGTTCCTTGACAATACAAAAACAGTGATCTTTAAACTTATCATCGCAAATCAACAATTGCATTTCAACTTAACATGTGGAATGGAAAAATATACATACTTAACCTACTTCCTTTGATGATTTGAATTACTTTAAAATATGAAATTATCCACCATTAATTGCCAATTTTAAAACCATAATAAAGAAATCCCAGCTGCGGCAATCGAAGAATATAAGAAACCAATTATTAGTACTGGAAAATGATGAAGAAAAACATTTTTTCGTGATAAACTCATTAAAATGAATAAACACAAAATCCGAAAAAAAAATGATAAAAACCAACGTCACATAAAAATGCAGGTAATTCCAATCTAATAAAAACTCTCTGATTGAATTTTAATTGCATTCATTTCATATTAAAGTATGAAATGGAAAATATTTAACATTTCAGATAAGTACAAGGAATGGACATTAATTATTTTGTCCTTTTCTTAAAAAAATTACAAAGTGATTCAATTTTCTTTTTAATAACTGGATATCTGAAAGTAGAGCTAGTAAAAAGAAGGAATTATTGCATTTCTCATACTAAATCCTCGTCTCTTTGGCATGTTATACCGCTAAGCTGCTGGAATGTATTTTCATAATGAACTGATTAATAACAAGTACTGGGTTTAAACTCCAAACAATCGATATACCCATTTACATTTTTATTGAATGATACGATTTCGTTATGATAAGTGCGTGTTTTTTTTATTTAAGTGTACGTCGAAATTAAATAGCATAACATGCTATGTAACATCTATATCGGGCTTTATGACAGGATAGATGCGCATAATTTTATAAAAAAATTATTTAGGAGTTGGTCCTTTACAAAAATAAATCTTGATAGTGTACGTAATCGACATAATTTATATTCAAATGAAGATGAGATGGATGGGAGTTTCTTTTAACGATAAATGTCGTTTTACAATGAGCATTGTGATGATGGTAATGATGAGGATGACGATGATGTTGATGATGATGATGGTGATGATGATGACGATGATGTTGATGATGATGATGATGATGACGATGATGATGACGATGATGTTGATGATAATGATGACGATGATGATGACGACGATGATGTTGATGATAATGATGATAATGATGACAATGATGAGTGACGAAGACGATGATAATGAAAAACATACACAATTGGAATGTAGATTAGTGAATTTATCAAGGATAAACGTCGACGATGGTAATGATGAGGATGATGATGATGTTAATAATAATGTTGATGGTGATAATGATGACGGTGACGACATTGATGAGTACATTAATTTTCTGAACGATAATCGATGAAATAGAAGATGAAAGTTGTGATTTGAAATCAGTTATTTCCATCGGTGTCAATTTAATAATCGTTTTTAATCTTGGTTTTGAGAATTGCCATCTGAGGAATTTGATTCTTTTGACACCGTTTGCTTTTCTCGTGTTTAGTTTAATTTTCAGAATTTAACCCTAACCTGTAAGTTATTTGATTAGAGGTAAAATATAGCTATTATATCGAATGTTGTTGAAGTCAGCACGATGTTTTGATATTTTTTTAAATCCCAAAATCACACAAATTCCGATGTTCAGTCATTTTCAAATATAGACAGACAGGAAATGCTTGTAATTTGTTAATTATTTTGATTTTTATGTTAAATTAGCATGTGACTGCAGTTTAGAAATCAATTCAAAGATATGTATTGATTACTTTTGCTGGAGTCACTTTCTCGAACAAAGAAATATCTACTTATTGAAATCAACATAATGAGTACGGCAGTATAGAGCCACTGTAATGATTAAGATTTTGTTGATGATGATGATGATGATGATGATGATGATGATGATGATTATGATGATTCTGTTAACGATGACGAAGGAGGATATAGTGCAATGTTAATATAAAACAATTCTTCTCTTTTTGTTGGATATTTAATTGACAACGTTTATAATATTATTTCACATTTTATCGTATCGACACGATGATACGCAATGTTTTGTTGCGTGTAGGTGTCAATTCAAGTACCTAATTTTGATACGGTAATTTCAAGTGAACTAGTATATTATCCTTTTATTTATCAAACTGATTATTTTTTCCGACGGTACAGATAATTCAAATGAATTTGATCATGCTATGTTTCCTTCCAAATGTCATACGAATGTGTTATTACACAACATGTAGCTTGGCCTTCCAGTCACTATAGATGGTTCTTTCAGTTATTTTGGAATGGACACATGCTAGTTTTACTGGACAATCCTCTGGCCAAAATGATGATGATGATGACCCCGAACAGGATGAGGAAGACAGGAGAAAGGACATTACATTATGTGAGCCGATGCCAACAAAACAAGGCGTAGACGAGTCGATGGCAGGTCTTTCTGCGGCCACTCTCCCGTGATAGGAAGCTCACCGCTGCCCTCATCTCCACCTACACGCAGCTGGACCGGACGGCTTTCAGTCTTTTGTTCGTCAGCCAGCATAAACTGCCTTTGTTTCGCGAAGCCCAAGCCCCGTTTTACACACAGAGGAGGTGAGTAAATGTTTGTTAGTTCCTCTTGATTTTTCAGTCAATAGAATACCCTTTTCTTTTCTCTCTATTTTTTTTCTTCCACTGCTCGAATCCTTTCTCTGTTTATTATCCGCAGCGCCGTGAATGCAGTCATTTGCAAAGACCGTAAACAACAGAGATTAACTGTAGCTGTTTAAAGTCCGTTGCAATCAATGATTTCATTGATTGCGCTCAGTGCGCACGCCAAACCGCTTCTATATCCAGCGCTGTCGCCAAACCAAATCTCAACGCGAAACAAATTTGTTCACCGTACCTCTCTTTCCTACTAGACGCTTACAACATGCTAGAATTGATTTAATAATTCCCTCTAAAGACGTCGTATATTGGCAGATAAAGATGAGTCTTGAAGAAAATAATCCCTCTTTATCGCATCTTATGAGAAGGCAACATGCGTAGAGTGCTTTATCGCAAATTCGCGCGCTACAAACATTCACTTTTTATGATCACTATCATGTCTGCCGCTTCCCCCCTTCCTAACAGACGACGTTCCGTCTCGCAAACATAGTAGAGGACACAAATTAATCGACCCTGACTGTACTATCAAATTAAATTACTTGGTATCATCTCAAAATGATCCTATTTTCCGCCTTAACTCTTGTAAACGACTCTAGGCCCTTATTATTGTATTATTGTGGCGTTTTAGCCAGCGTAACTGGTACATGTATGAGCATCAACACATTGCTTCAGAAGGTCGTGCGGCTTGGCAGAAATATGAAGAGAAAGGATGAAAGAAGTGAATTCAGTGAAGGCAACACAAACTAAAATTCTTCCCCATCCCCCCCCCCCCCCTCTCTCTCTCTCTCTCTCTCTCTCTCTCTCTCTGGTGTCCACTTTATAGTCGCGTGCGAATTCAAAACAAAACTACCCAACCCCCAAAAGGACGTCTAAAATCAGTGAGGTGCTTGCAAACGAACCTCGCAATCGGTTATTAAAAATTGCTACTTTACTTTTCCGTTTGTTCCCCTCTCATACCTCGCACACACTCTCTCTTTCTCTCTCTTCCTTTCTAAACCTTTCATCTCTCCCTCTCTCTATCTCTTTCTCTCTTTCTCTTTTCTTTCTGTACCGATAATATTTACGCCTGGCGGGCCTCGCTATTGTATGTCGCCGGTTAAAAGTATAGCAGAGCGGTATGAATGGTTGCCTTGATTCGTCCCGTCAGCTTCGGGGTCGATTTGCCAGTCGACACGTGGGTCCTTTGTTACTCTCACTACGGCTCCCCTGTCGTATTTTTAGCTCCTAATTTGTCCACTTTGAAGGGGAATCCCTTTTTTTCCTTTCACAGTTCTCTTCAAACCTAAAAAGTCTTGGCACCCATCGACTGAACCCAAACTTGGGGAAGCTAAAAGTACACAAGTTTCGAAGAAGAAGAACAAGAAGAACAAGAAGTAAAAGAAGAAAGAAAATAAGGAGAAGGAGATACAGAAGAAGGAGAGAGAAAGAAGAATAAAAGAAGAAAGAAATAGAAGAATAAAAAGAAATGAAATCATAGATACCCACTATATAAAAACAGTCAACAGTAACAACAAGAAAAAGGAATAAACCCAAACACTGCAAAACCATAAAAAACCGACTATTCTATCAGCAACGATGATTTAAATATGATTTAAAGACTTGTTTACACTTGCAGCAGTTTTCTCAAATTCATATGAATAATGTACCTTTTCATTTCACCTTTATGAAAGCGTTGTCCTGGTTCCTGTAGAAAATGCTTCACATTGATATTGTATCATCTCCTTTTATTTGACAAGTCCGTTTTACTCCCTCCTACTTCATCCTTTACGTTTGTCTACTCCTTATCAATCTCCATAACCATTTTTTTTTTTTTTCATAATTTCGCTCATTTTAGGGATTTTCTTCATCTTTTTCTACACTCGACACTCATTTTGACCTATTTCAGTGATAAAACATTAATCTAATTGATAGGAAAAATATTTCATCTTCGCTCACCTATTTTATTTAGATCTTATTTCAGCCTATTCAAATCGAAGCT